TCCAGTTCCTCTGATCCAGAGCTGCACACTTCCAGCCAGCAGCCATCGCCGCCTATTCGGCGATGTATGTGCTGCCTCGTCGAAAGCCACCTGAGAAATAGTACCGGGCTAGAAAAGTTGAAAAAATTGTGGTGACCGCCGCATAGACTTAGCTTAATGCGAACTTCCAGGAAAGCTGGAACATCACGAATCCTTGAGACCTTCTGTTCCGTCTAAGTGGATTTGGGAGCTCTCAGACTGATCTCGCATACTCAACATTCTGTAATCCAATTCATGTCGACAACGGCACAATAGTGGTTTTCCTTTGTTTTTTTTTTTTTTTTTTAAATGAATCCTGTAAATAAAGATGTAATATGGCGCAAAATATGTATTTATTTGTTTGTGTGTGTTGTGTGTATGTGTATGGTGTTCGTCTGTGTGCATCTGTATGTGTCTGCGTGTGTGTGCGTGCGCATGTATGTTCATTTGTTGTGTGTATCATTCAATTTCGGCTCTACGACTAGAGCTGAAATTTCTGGAGCACAGTCACCGGCTTAGGAGATGGCTGTAAAATGGAACTGGATCAGGCTTCTCTTTATTATCCTGAGCTCAAAAATCTTAAAGTCCAAGTTAATTTTATGATCCGAGAACAATTAAAACAATAACGAAAATGAAGTTGATGGAAAATATTTGCTCTAAAATTAGTCCTCGATGTTCAGCATGACTAGATCTGGAATATCAACACAGAATAGTTCTTTACGAGGCAAGAAAGAAAAAAAACTCAAGTCGGCAGAAAATGGTGAAGCATCAGAAGGCTTTGTTGTACAGTAAAAAGGGCAGCTGATTGTGGATTTGGTAATCGAGAAGCTGATCAATCGATTTCCTTTCGCAACATTCATACTACAGCCATGTGCAAGTCGGAAACGGCGAAAATTTTCTTGAAATCAACATCCGGTAGGCTGCCAGTGGCCTGAGTCTGAAATGTACCAAGAATACCACCAGTGAGGGCATCCCGCATTGGTGCTGCTATATTGCGATTCTGCAGCAAAAAAACCCGACGCAGATATCAACAGTACGTACTTTGCTACTTCAATCAGTTACAGCTCAAAGTGTTCTCCTCCAGCTGAAAACTTCCCCAATTCTTTTGATCTATGCTGCGCCGGCCGATGCTCAGCCTGTCGATTTTCGTCACGTCTCCGGTCGTTTCCGCATCATCATCTTCTGACGTTCCGTGGAATCTTGAGGTTCATCTTCGATTTCTTCTGTTAGCACTTGCCGTTTAACTGGCATCACTGCCTCCATACAAATGTATTGAAATGAAGATGTGGTACCAACAACTGGTAAAAGAAAACTGAACATACAGCATAATGCAGTCGGTTTTTTGCAAGCGTGCCGGTCTGGCCTTTCAGCTTTAGCATCACTTCCATCATTTGTTCGTTTTGTTCCGGCACTACAAAATGCACATCCCTTCGATAGACTGCGAAAACGTCTGGATCCCAGTCATAGTCCTCATCCGGATTCTAAGGAAAAAGGAAATGAAAAAAATTATTCGTTGCCCCGATTTTTGTAATTCTAGTTTTAAAAACTACGTTCAGCCAGTTAAGAAAATTCGCTGCCCAAGCTAAAAAAACATTGAGTGCGACGATGGTGTGAAGACAAACTGTTTGTTCATCTCTTGATAACACTGCTA